GGTCTGGCAGAGCTACCAAAAAGCCCGCCTACCTGTGTGATGTTACCAGTAGGATGATTCCATCTAAGAGTGGAGGGGTGTTAGATACTAGCTACAGTTATAATGGTTTCCACCAAGGTCCTCTATTCCGGCAGGAACAGGAGTTTAATCTCATTGGTCAAAGGGTCAAAAGGGCTGTTGTCAGACTCAACCTTTGCTGGATTGTACATACTTGTTCTGTTACAATAAAGAGCTGTTGTTGCCTTTCCATTGCCCGATCTAATACTACTCATTTAAGCTCTGGAGTTGCTAGGAATTAATGGCCAATAATCAATTGATCAATCAACCAATCACCCTACACCAGTTTTTTTTTTCATGAGACCATATACTGGTAGGTAATCAGCTAGACAATTTTAAAAACATACTGAATCTAGCAAAATTTGCCTAGAGAATGTAAGGGGAACACCACAGAGAAAGGCAGTGCACCAAATGAAATCTTAGATTCCACAGGAGATGAAGATTCAAATCAATTAACTGGAAACAGATAATCTGTTTCTTTGCATTTGTCCCTGGATAGTTTTGCTGTTGAAGGTGTTTTTGTTGTTATTGGGCTGTCTGCTTGATAGTTTTGTTTCTAATTCACATTGGTAATTTGATGCCTCATCTTCTTTTCCTAGGTCTCTGACTTTAATACTCCCTGTGTGACTCTATCTCTACTAGCAGTAGGCTAGTTTAGGGAATCCATATAGCCACAGTTCTGTTCCCCAGCATCTCAGGTGCCTTCCTTCTAGCCACACCTATGCAGAAAATTGGTTTAGAAGTGCTGCTCTTCTTCCCAAACTTCATCTAGTCCCCTTCACATGAGACTTTGTATTGATCCAAATCTGCCATCTGTAGCCATTAACTTTGGGCAGAATAATTTTCTGGAACAACCCAAAAAGTAGGTCAAACTCTTGTGATAAAAGCAATAACACTGAGTAGTTGTTATAACTGTTATATACATACTCTTTTGGATGGTTGTAGCATGCCACAAAACTGGGGGAGGTTCAAGTATACTCCTGTCCTAGAAAATTTTCTTGAATACAGTGAAACTGATTTAATGGTTGTAGTTCCTATTTCTACATTTTAGAAAAGTGATGTTTTACCTCTTAATAGCAATATAAAACATGACAAAATGTTTAGCTGCATAAACCGTCGTGGACCAGCTCTAGAATGTAATGGGCTATTCTTGACTTTTAAAAAATATATTTAAAAAAGAACAATCCTTAGTGCTTTTATAGCTATCTACCATAGTTGTGTCCCTCTGGATTCAACATGAGTTACTCCCAGTTAAGTAAATTTGAAGGTTTCATTCTCTTCTGGTACAGTTTTTCTTAAACATTTTTCTCTCTGGATCCCTTTCCATTTTTAAAAATGGAAAATTTTAATCAGTATTTTCTATATTACAAATGAAACAGACACATTCATTGCTGCTTTTTTTTCATGTAAGTTGGCAAATAATTTTGATTTTGTACATCCTAGGACCACACTTTAAGAAACATTGATCTTGAACAAGTTCCAAATCTGGCACTCTTTTTTTGTAAAATGTTCTGTCTCATCATGAGTTGTCAAGTATTTTCCCCCCAAGTCTTTAATTCACTGTTTGAAAGAAGAGCAAAACTCAATGGATGTTTTATTTGTAACAGTTTATTATTTGCTCTCAGATAAAAACATTTCAAAAAACACTACACAAAATAAATCCATTGTGATTGTAAAGTGCATTTTACAGTTGTGTAAAAAATATACTTAGCAACAGGCAGGGCATCTTGAAGCAAAAAATGGACTATTTCTCATTACATTCATACAGGCAAGAAAAACACAAAAGTCCAAGAAGTTGGCTTTGAAATTTGGAAAGAAGACTGAAATAAAAGTGCATTTTTATAGCCATCTTGGGTATGCATTTCACACTGTCAAGTATTTTTTTCTTTCTCTCTAGTCACATCATAAATAAGCTAGATCTGCTAAAGAAGCAAATTATTTGGATTCACATGTGACTCAATAAGCCTTGGTTTACAAACCCAATGGCCATCCACAAAACAAAGCCAAACCAAGCAAACTTCTATGACTTTGTGCAGTGGTGCACTAGTTATAGTTAAAATTACTCATGTTTTTAAAATTCAATCAGAGGAACATTCAGACCAAGAAACTCAGGTTTTGCATCTCTGGGTTCAGCAAATTGTGTCCTTGCCTCTTTGGCATGATGTTTGATACTTTGATCTACTTTCTTGGAAACCTTTAGGATAATTTTACATACCATCAGAGGAAGCCATTGCAACTTAGCATAAGGCCTTTGGAACCTTGAGTTATGGGATATATAGAATCCAGACTTTTGGATGGAAACAATTCAACTGGTGTATGTTTGATTTGTCCAGAATTCTCCAGTTCAATATTGTTATTTGAGAAGTTTCAGTCCTATATCAAATCCCTAGACACGGTGGAAATATGAAGGATTAATACAGAGGGATGGACCATCTGAGTAGGATTTATAAAGATGTGGCATGTTTCAAGGCTACAGGAAGAAACCTTCTCTAAATAGGGTCACATATAGTCCTTATCAGAAGATTAAGGATAATGCATTAAGTTTCCGCAAATTGTTTTTTCTACTGGCATGTTAAGTCAACATGAAAGGCAGTTGCGAACAGCCGATTTGCAATTTTATTGAGGAGTTGCATGAAGGAATGGATTTTGCACATGACTTTGGGGGATTATTTCTTGAATACACACAAGGATTAAAACATTTCTTGTAGTCTATAGTAACCTTCCCACTTGCAATCCCAAACTTGTAATTTAAACTAATTGTCTACTTTCTAACTACAAATTTACACATTAGCTTTCTCCTGCTTCTCAAGCCCTCCCAGACCCTGCAGACAATCATCCCATCATCTCCTGCAGCATCTGGAGGCCTTCAAGAAGAGAAAGGTTATGATACATATTTCTTTTGAATATATGTACTGCTGTGTTCAGTGGCTTCACTTCCAAATGATTTTGAATATCTTGCTATTTAAGTTAAAGCAGCAGTTAAGATGTCCATGCTTGTTTCTTGGGGAAGTAAAAAATAGATGATTTTTTTCTGCCATATAACCAACCGAAGGATTCAGTTTCCCTTCACAGAAAGTATTAGTCATCACATCAGAATGGCTCAGGCTCAAAATCCTTTTCCTCAGAATAAACCCCGTTGCGAAAGAAGCCTTTCTCACTTTTCAAATGGCAGTGTGAAAAAGAGACCCACGGCACGTACGAGAAATCAAGTTCAGCTTTATCATAACAAGTTTGCAACTGCTGATCACACTGTCTGCAGGTTTTTTAAAAAAAAAATTAAAGCAGCAATAACTAAGACCAATTGGATATTTGTGCTGAGGTTTCTAATACACAGTTTCTAACAAGTCCAGTGCCAAGTCTTAATTCAAGTTGAAGGCATGCAAATGAAATGACATACTCATCATAGAGAGTTAAGGAAATGTTGGGTATTCATATTTCTTAAGAAACAAGCTATGGCATGTTGACAGACTTTCCCAATTTCTAACCACAAGCTAACATTCCAGGGCAAGGCTCTTGCATCATGCTAAGTAATCAAGCTTGGTTACTGCTGCTTTTCCAAAATTGCATGAACTCCTTTCCAAATGAAGATTTTTTTTCCAGATAGAACAGGGAACATAAGAACGTCATCTGAATATTTAGATACTAAATCTAAAATCCTCAATTCTAGTTCACATTCAGCAAAACCATTTATGGGGCTCCTTATTCAATCAGCATAACAGCTGATTTGCTTTAAGGTTGAGTTAGGAAACTCTAGTACATATATCTTTGAGCTTTCAAGTAATTTCACCATTTTGTTATAGATATCACAAACAAGCCCTGAAAAGGGTTAACTTTCTAGTGAGTTGGATTTATAATCCAAGTTAAAAAATCTAAATGACTTTATTTAGTGTTAAACAAGAACCAGAGAAGATTGGCCCCAGTAAATGATAACATATGGGTATCCCCCCGTTTCTGCCAATAGGAGAAAATATTTCAGAAAAGAAATAGTGATAAATTGATGAAGATGAAGCAATATTTTTGTATTGTTTTCCTCTGCATGCAGGGAATGATTTACTATTTTTGGTTAACCATCTTTCCCTCTCAACTTTACCAGAGTTCAAGAACATAGGAAATTGATATTTCATTTCATACTACATATGCCCATTAACAAAGAAAAGACCAGGATATCTGTCAAAAGGGTGGGCAATCTAGCCCATTGCATAGATTGGTTAGGAGAAATTGACAAGAATTTGAACACTGATTTCATTATTAAAAGGAGTCATGTTTGATACACAGTAATCACTGGAATTCATTCATACTGGATTTTAGCTTTTCTATAATAAAGCTCCTGGGTTCTTGAACAGCTGTTTAATTCACTCTGGCACAATGTTCTGCCCTCACTTCAGCTGCCATTGAAGGCCAACACTGGAAGATCCCCTACTCAGAGAGACCATGCCCCTATGACTCCGGACACACAGACACAACAGAGCACGTACTCCTCCAGTGTCTGTACTACAGAGACATTCCTACTAGGCTCACTTGCCATCATTTTACAAATACCCAGAGTGTACAGGACAATTCTATATCTTTCTACTTCTTTCAGATATTAACTCTGCTAAAACATTCGTTGCCAGGTTCTGCATAGCAGTGCTTAAAATCCACCAGACGATGAGCTCTGGCATAAAGCAGCTTCAATGAGCATCTACTTCATCATTCTATAGTCCTCTGTACTGTGATAGATTTAGTCTGCTATAGACTAATCTCTAAGTTCCCCTGCATTTATCTAATGCTCCCACACCTTCTTCCAGTTTCCCTTTAGGCTTTTGGTTTTTATGCATATACTTCCTGTTTTCTGTCTTTCAGCTTCGTCTAATAATTTTTTTTTAGACTTTGGTGCACACACACACACACACACCTGTTTATAATGATGAAGATGATAATAATAATAATTTAGACCATGATGTGTTTTCTATGCTTTTTAATAGACTGTAGCCCACTCTATGCTGTATTAAACAATTGATTTATTAAGCTCTAGAGAGATCAAGCATCAAAATGTCTGTTCTACCACTGAGTTAAAATGCTTCTATTACTGAGCATAAGTGTTGAGGAGCGCAACAGAAAACTCGACTTAGTGGGTATCCATTATTTGACATGGTATCTTATTTATGTCAGCAACATTCAATTTATAGATATTTTATAAAATTCATGAAACAAAATGAAATTTTAAAATGTTCTTCACCCAGATGACTTAAGCCCAGCAGGCCCCAACAAAATTAAATGTACATAAGATGGTGTCATGAGGAGTTAAGACTTAAAAACAATTTTATTCTTAACAGTCCACCACCACTTAATAAAGGAGGGAGATAAATAAAATCACCTAAATAAAATTATTAGTTATTGTGGAAGCTAAAATGCTACATCAGCCTTCTCCAGGCCACTGACTGTCCCACCTGGAGATCATAGGAACTAAAGTCTAGCACATCCTGAGGGCACCAGGTTGGTTAAGGGTGGATTATGTGACTAGGCTACATAGGGCTGGTGTGGCTCAGCCACTGAAAGATATGTACATATGTGTTTAGGAAGAGAGAGACAGGCAGAATGGTGAGTAAGCATTTTGGAATCTTCCCATAAACAAGGCAATTCCTAAAATGAAAGGAAGCAAAGGATCTTCTGAGCTAAAATTATAGTCTTTTCCATTTGAGACTCTTAGCCTCTCACAGATTGTACAATCTGATTAAGGCAGGAGGAAGACTGCTTAGCTCATCCCTGCATTTCTTCTCAGAGAGTTGGTTTTATCAGAAAGGTGCATATCAAGTTTGATTCCAGAATACAGAAGGGAAAAAAAGGGGGGGGGGTTTGTTCTTGCACAGCTCACAATACTGTCATGTATCTCAAAGGATGCACAGAAACCAAATGGCCCAAACGACAGCACCAAGTGCTGAATTTGATCTGTGGCAGCCATGTCACAGGAGACCATCTCCTTTTCTTTATATTCAAAGGAACATGAAGAGAGCATCTGCCCTAAAAACCTTTGCAACCAGGAGTTTTAACATTTCTCTTTGTTTCCATTCTGTAACTACAAACTTCAGTTCTTTTGCGTACTCTGCAGCCACCTCCACATGAGGACTTTCTATCTCTGTCTCTTCATTCTTGTGCAGTAAATATAATCCCGAGGCTCTGATTTAGTAATAAGGGCCACGTTTTTCATATCCGGAATAGCTAGGCCATTCAGGAAATAAACCATAAGAACACCGGGGGCTTCCAAACTGATCAAAGGCAATTCCAAAATCTGTCTCACTACAAGGCTGAGAAATTTCTCGAGCTGATTTGAGTTCAGAGCGTATGATCCTGTAATTGAACCCCTTGTTGCTATCCCAGTAGACTTTGCCATCACATTCATAACACACTGCAAACTCAATTCTTTCATGGGCTTGAACCCGTTCTGGCAAGCTAACATCAAAGGAGAACGTATCCTTATCGGAGCTGGCATAGGTGTCCTTCACATATTGGCATGAGTGATCCGTGAAGGTTTTCCAAGTATCAAAGGTCATCCGAATCTTGACGGCCTTCTCAAATGCCAGATTCCTGACTTTCACCGTACCCACAATAGCTTTATCTTTCAACATGCAGTTCTCAAGGCAAACACAGTCTGCCTGGAGGCGATTCCGGAAGTCCAAGTAATCTGCAGAAGGCTGTATGAAATCCAAGACAAAGTCATCGTGATCCACCGTGGTCAGGCCCACAATGTTGTCTATTAGTTCTGTGATGTTCAAGGGAATATCCAAGCGGTCATCAAATTCTGAGAACACTTTCACCACTGTCAGAGCCAAGCCACGGCTGTCTGCAAAAGAAACCCTTTTTTTCACCCGGTTCCTCCGCAGAGCTTGGACCTCTGACCCCAGCTCTTTCAGCACAGGGCTGCTGTTCACATGAATGCAGGGTCGCAAAGGCGTCTTGATCTTTGGGGCTATTTTGTAGGCAAAACTCTCTTTCCGCAAAGAGGGCGCCCGCAGGTAGAATTGCATGGCTACATCCACTGCCATTCTGGGCTTTTGAGGAAAAGAGTCCAGGATTCTGGAGGAGGGGATAAATAAAAAATAAAATTAAAGAAACACATTAAACAGTTGCAAAGCCACATAGCAGGCCACAGTCAGTCCCAATTGGGGATGACATGTTTTATCAAAGCCTGCTCATTTTCAAGCTTTTTATTTTTAGTTATCTCATCAAATATATACTGGACTCTGCTGGTTATATCAAGCTCACAGCCTTACTATTGCTTAATATCCTTGATAAAGGCAATCAGACACAGGTCAGAAGTACAAGAAGAAATGTGGATGTACAACTCAATTTTTTAGTGTTTGGCAACAGAACAGTTGGACTTACAAGTTGATATGTCTTCCCTGATCTAGCAACCAAATGGCATATTCACATTTTAAGAAATAGGAATTCCTCCATGGAGAAAGTGTACGATCTGAACCAAGTTTTGGCAGATTTCAACAGAAGATCCAACTAGTAGATCAAAACTGTGTTTCATGTCATTTCACATCATGCTATTTCCCCGAACAAAGACCCAGAATTCAAATTTCTACTTGATCATGGCATTCTCATATGTTCTTTCATATCACGGAACCACACCTTTCCCAACATTTCAATACTAAATCCGCCTCAGATACTCTACTGAAAAAACATCTCTCTTTCTTCTATCACAAGGCAACATAAGTGGCATAATAGTTTACCACACACTCACCCTGCAACCCAGAAAGAGTTTGGTCGAAACTGCATTCCAGTTTGGAGCATTCTGAATGGTTAGGTATTCAAAACCAGCAGAGCAATAAAGCATGGATAGGCTTGGAGAGCCCAGTAAAACACAACTGCCAGAGGCTAAAGCTCGCGTTTCTTTTACAGCAAGTTCTCAATTCCTCTAAGTATTGGAAACAGGAAACAGAATAGACTGCAGCAAGAAAGAACTGCCCCAACTTCTTAACTGGAGCGGAAGCCACAGCAGACCTATGACTTCACAGATTTACAGTTCAACAATATTGAGACATTTCAGGAATTTGCATCAATGTAACTATGTCAATGACTTTGAGTCACAGTACATCCAAATTCACTTTGCCAGGATCCAGGCACAAACAAGAAAAGGATTATATTAATAATGTGAACACCCTGGACTAAGGAAGGCTGCAATCCAAACAATTTCAAATGAACAAATAGGTCTCACAGTGACTAAGAATCATTCATGCAACAAATTTTTACTCCAGGTATTTAATTCAAAATTGCTGAAATTTTTGTAGAACATTTTGCAAATGGGAAGCTTTCATCATCCATGAAACTTTGACTCATACACACAGAGGTCAGCCAACAGATAAAACTGCATATGCCAAATTCCGAAATGTCTTTTATTAATGCCTGCTTTGTCTTCGGCTATGTAGAACAGGCACCTTAAAACCACTGGCTTTCTCTCAGGTTCTTAGGGAATCAAACCAACAGATACCTCCTTCTGTATGTTTGGAAACGGTTGCCTAAACAAACTATATTCTTGGATACATTGCTGTTTCCAAGAAATTTTAAAGGCTTTTCGCCATGAAGATCATTAATAATGGATAAGGTCACAAGATATGCAGTACAAAATCCAAAGGAGTAGTTTTCCATGCATTTTCTCTAATACATTCGCCCTTAATGTATAGCAATTGTGAGGTATTGTATATGCAATACCTCCTCTGTTGAATCTTTATGAAACACTGCCCAGATTTTTCATAACTCACCATAAACATATGGTATATAATTTTTGCCCAATTGAAAATCATAGCGTCAACCATTCTAATTTGCTCAGAAAAGCCACCTGTTTGAGGTTAGGAACCATAGCTAAAAATCGATTTCTTGTTTGATAAGAAGGCAATCATTTCTGGTAAGATAAAAGCCTGAAGGCCATTGCATTTGACAGATAAGCCAGTGGCATTCAGGGAAAGTGAAAGCAGAAAGTGAATTTTAGTAACATAGTAACTTTCTCTAACATATAATTAACCACCTTCAAGCTAAATCAGAATAACAAACATTTTTGCTATTATTTCCTGATATGCTTCATTTTATACTGGAGCCTGCTTATAAGTCTTGATGAGTTTTTGTTACTAAAAGTCTTCCCCAGAAGACTTGTTCTGATTCATACATTCAAAGATCAAATTACCTTTAATTGTTCTTACTAAAACAGAAACAAAAACCACAACTTTAAATGTCACAGCAAGTTAAGACTGCCAACTGCAAGCTAATAAGATCCAATTTCAGAGTGGATCACCAAGTCCAATAATTGGAAGCTGGCCAATTCTATATTTCCCACAGAATCTATTGTGCAACAGAAGGAACAGGTTTGTAGAAAAATATGGATGTTTTTAAAAGACTATACTACTGTACTTTAAAAGTATCCCTGTAGGTTAAGTCTATTTATGAGATGTAGCAGCCTAAAGCTAGCTAGATTATATTTGGGATTTTTAAAAGAGCTAGACATAAATGGTCTAAGAAAATCTGGCTCTGCTGCTTTTGAGGCCTCTCCAGCTATGATCCAACAGAGGACAGAGAGATCCAACCTTTCAGGTGCTAGGGACCAGCTTCACGCAGGGTGGTTTTTCCGTGGGCTGGGCATGGTTTCACATGCTGTCTGGATATCATGTGTGCATGGATGGGGGCATTGTTTGCCTGCATGGCCCAATTCCTGGCAGGACATGGACTGGTGCCAGTCCACAGCCCAGAGACCGAGGACCCAATTAACAGGATATAGTAGTCAATTTGCTGGTTCTCTCAGAGTGCTGCCTCTGGACAATTGTCCAGGAGGTGCAACACTTGGTATGAGCAAGTTGGTGACTGAGGGAAAAGATGGAGAACAGACCTCTTGCTGCCAATGAGGGTGGCTGGTACCGTGGAGGCAATTCCACAGGGGAGGTTTTATGTGTAGAACAAGTAAGGCCAGATTGAGGATTGAAATCAGGGGGTTGGTCTTGTTCAGGGCTCTACGGAAGGAGTATCCTTAATCTAACCTCCTGAGACTTTTTCAAAGCCAAAAGCCTATGTATCAATAGCTTTGAAGAAATATATGTATAATTTAATGCTACGTATGTGAATGTGACATATATTTCTCAAACCAAAGCAACTAGCGACAAAGGAAAGCAAAGCAACTAGCAACAAAGCAAAATTCGACAAAGCAAAGCAGATGGTGATGATGATGATGATAACTCACTGTCTCCGGGTTTCTTAGTCTTCAAACTGGTTTTAGATGAATAGGAACTAATTGCACGTCTATAAAGATTTCAGTAAATGACTACCAGGAACATTTACCCAGGGGGCTTGTGTGTCAAAAATGTTAAGATAATGATTATTTGACTGCAAAATTTACACACATCTTGACTCTCTCCCCCTCCTCCTTTCCCACAGACACTCCTGGAGACTATTACATGTATGCTACTCTTGGCTTATTTGAGAATGAAGAGATAAATATAAACAAACAAAGCCATCCATCTTTTAAAAAATAGGTTTGAAAGTCACTAAATGAAGATCAACTCCAACTCATCAGTTAACCCAAACAAGCAAGTTTAGCACATGACAGATTTCCTCCACTGCTGTCTGCCAGACAAGTTAGATTTCAGTTTCTATAATCTGCAGTCTGCATGCCCAGGGAATCTGCCTAGTTCTAGCTGAAACCGGAAAACCAGATTTAAATGTTCTTTCAACCTGTTCTAATGCATTTTAAAATCTCTTGAAAACACAGGCACTATTTAATAGTGGCTGTCATGTTCCAAATAGTTCCAACAGGTGCACAAAAGCCGCTTTCAAAGATACTGGTTGTCTTTTCCTTCTATGCAAATGGCAAGAGATTTTTGTTTCTCAATTAAAAACATATCCGGAAGCTTTTTACTCAATCTTTGATCTCCACCAGACTTCCCTTTATCTCACCCGCACCACCGATTATAAAGCTTTCAACAGCTCTTCATGACCTTTATGGTGAAAGACTGATTTCTCAATTTTTTATAACTTTAAGACCTAGCAGTACAGGTGATCTTCAGAGCCCTGAGCGTTAAACATATTTATCTGCCATTTCAAGGATGGAATGCATGAAGTACCACCAACCTGCTGAATTCTTCCTGGTATTTGTGTGGGCCATGGAATGCTTACCCTTTTTCTACAACTATTTGCTGCAATCAAAAGTCTGGTTCTTTGAGGTTATCTCCCCTTCCCCCAAAGTATAATAAAAATACTTGAATGGCATGAAGAAAACCTGCCCTATCAAGTTGAAGTGGTGTTTTAAAGCATGGGAGAGGGCTGATGGGAAGAAAGGCTTTATAAGTTGGATATAGAAGAATATAGAGGATGGCCCAGCAAAAGCATTAATTCAAAGAGTTAACTAAAGGTCCAATTTCAGGAATGCAGGTTGAATAAATAATCATCTTGTAGCTCATAAAGCAGCAGGGTTATTCATACTTGCATATTATTGCAGGCATACGGCAAAGGGTAGCTCTTGCATTTTAGTATTCATTAATAAAGTATTTTCCAATCTATGACCCAAATGTAATTCCTGGCAACCAATTTATACCCCTCCAGCACCTTAAAACTGTACTGCTGCAATTCAGTAGGAAATAGTTGGGTTTTCAGTGGTGCAATTATCTGTGCCAATTCCTTCCAAAAATGGGGAGCGGGGGAGGAACATTAGGCATCTGAAAGGCAAACAGCATTATTTTTCCAATCCAATTCCCTCTCCTCTACATCATGCAACATATAGTGGCTCCCAATCTTTCTCTTAATTCAGTCATTTTGCTGCTAAATTTTACTTGCCACTTTAGGCCAATTTCACAGGGTTTTAAACACTAGAAATGAATGCAGTAGGGCTTCTAGAGAGTTCCTCTTCTCACCCCTAGCGTTAAACTTCAGGAAAACCACAAAGAGCAGGCAAAAACCCCCTATTCTACACTTCCTGTGACATTACTGTCCTTTTGGAGACATTATGAATAGCTCTCTCCAGCCAGCTGGTGTTTACGTGCCAAGTTGCAAGTCTGACACAAGAAAATGGATCTTCCTTACATTTCAGCATCAATAGCTCTCCTGGGAGATGGTAATATTATTTATTAGATCTATATCCCAGATGTCCTCTGAGGATTCACAAGAATGCACATGCACAGATGTTCCTTATTTCATCCTATCAACAGATCTGGAGATAGTTAGATTGAGAGAGAAAACACTGGCCCAATATCACTCATTGAGCTCTAGCTTTGTAAACCTGTCCCCTCCCCCCAGTTCTGTCCAACACATTAACTTCAACACGATGCTGGCTCTATTGTGGGCTGGACCTTTTTCAAGAGCCAAGGTGGCGCAGTGGTTAAATGCAGCACTGCAGGCTACTGCTAGATCAGCAGGTCAGCGGTTCAAATCTCACCGGCTCAGGGTTGACTCAGCCTTCCATCCTTCCGAGGTGGGTAAAATGAGGACCCAGATTGTTGGGGGCAATATGCTGACTCTCTGTAAACCGCTTAGAGAGGCCTGAAAGGCCTATGAAGCGGTATATAAGTCCACTGCTATTGCTATTGCTATTAACTGATCCACTCATGTGAAGGAAACAGTGGTATGCTGCTAGCATGCGAGCTAGCCACCTGAGCTTTACTAGTGCTGACCAAATCATAACCGCATAAGATGAATAGCAAAGCATCCAATTATAGGAAATGATTACTGTTATCCTGAAGATATTTTAGACATCAGTAGCAATTTATTCAAAGCGAAAGGTGCTGCCAATAGATAACACAATAAGCAAACAGACCCCTTGCTGTTGGCTCCTATTGAAGTCTATTTCTTCCTCTTTTTAAATATCAGTTTCTTTATTATTTACAACCACAGCAGAGGACTCCTCTGTAATAGTTCCTGACACATTTTAACAAGTGCATTCAATTTACAGAGAGTCCTCAGTTTATGTGCATTTATTCAG